GTGCGGCCTGCACCTGGGTGACACCATTGGAGGGGTGACACCAAAATGACTCGGTCATTTTGGTGTCACGCCCTCTGAAAAGTCGGGACCGAACGCCCGAGATATCAGGAGAGAGGAGGGGACCCGGCGGGATAAGGTATGCCTGTCCCCTTCTCTCTCTGCCGGCGTCCATCACCAAGATGGCCGCCGGCAGGTATCAGAATAATGCCGCGCGTGCGCGATGACGTCATCGCGCACTCGCTTACCGCTCCGGGTGTCACCCAGCCTCGGGCGCTCGCCTAAATGCTGCAATGCCTAGCCGGATACTACGGATACACACAATGCCGCCTTCAACCACCGTGCCCGTCCCCTGTAGGCAAAATGACCATTTTTTTCTGCAATTTGGGCAAAGCGAAACTGGCAAATGTACAGGTGATGGTGAATAGTGAGCCTCCCTGTAACCCAGTGGTTCTCAGCCTGTGGGTCGTGACACACAGTAGAGGGGGGGTCCCCACGTGCCTTGTGCTGCTCTGGGTAAGAGGCTCCGCAGTGTCAGTCCTCCTAGATGGCGCTGCAGAGGCCGGAGAGGATCAGAGAGAGGGGAGCAGGCAGGAGTGAGGGGAGGTGAGTGCTTGAGCACCGCAGAAGCCGCGCTGGGCACCACAGGGGCCGCGATGGGCACCACAGGGGCCGCGATGGGCACCACAGGGGCCGCACTGGATGCCACCAGAGAGTCCCACTAGCCTCCTGAGAGCCCACACAGATACTAGTATTGATGCATCCCCAAAATTTACGGTTGGGGGTCACCACAACTTGGCATGCGACAAGCCGAAAATAAAAAAGGGAAAAAACAGGCAAATAAAAGAGGACGTGTGAGTTGTCGGATTTGGTTTTCCTGCTGCTGGTGAAAAGTGGATTAAAACAGATCAAAAACTGAACCAAAAGACACCCGGGTGCACCTCTGCCTGCGTCTCAGGAATAGGATTTTGGGGAAGAGGGTTGGGTTGTCACCATCCCAGTGATAAAGGTTTACTGGGCGATCTCAGCACTTAGTCCCATGAGGCATTGCAAGACCGGCATCTGAGGAATGACTCTTAGCCAGAGGCAGGAAAACTCACAGGGGGGGCAGAGATAAGACCACTCACCCTGCACAAGGAGAGAGAACAGCAGTAAGCGGTCTTTATTACAAGAGGGGGCGGGGACAAGAGAGAGCAGAGCTATGGAAAGGACCCAGCAGGCTCCACCCTTTTAGGCGTGACAAGACCAGTCACCCTTCACAATGGGAGAGAGCAGCAGCGAGCGGTCTTTATTACAGGAAGGGGCGGAGACAAGACCAGTCACCCTGCACAAGGAGAGAGAACAGCAGTGAGCGGTCTTTATTACAGAAGGGGGCGGGGACAAGAGAGAGCAGAGCTATGGAAGGGACCCAGCAGGCTCCACCCTTTTAGGCGTGTTGGATAGCTGCATCACCCCGCTGCATTTCCACCCATCGCTATGGTCACCAGTGTGTCCCTGTAGAGGCGCACTGATGTAGTGACTGGTGGGAGGGACCACAGCGTGCAGCAGGGGAACGCAGGTTTCCGAAGTGTCAGGTGCTGATGCATCCCCCAGTCTTCATAGCTCAGGAAGAGAGTGAAGATGAGACGTACAAGCAGCAGTTAACACGCTGTTGAAGTGACACATGACCGGTGCTCTTCAATCCTGCACACCGAGCCGCCCCTGGCAAGTGAAAGCACGCTACACCGGGCCCCTGGATTCCTGGGAGTGACGGGGATTACATGGACTGGTCCAGCTGGATCGTTTTAAGAGGCCGGGGGGGGGCGACATCTGGAATTTGTTGCCGTGCAATAAGGCTCCGCGGACTTTGGTTGTCTATCGCTCCGATTCTCGGATTGTTCCATTATATGACGTCTGGGGGGGGGACGTCTGTCCTAGCCGGACCCTCCAGAACATAACATCAACGTGCTTTATTCTCTGGTGCAAATATGTTGTCTGACTAATATTTTCCACATAGAGCACTTGGCCCGCTTCGCTAAAGCCAAGGTCATGTGATTTGGGGAAGGGAGAGGTATTTAAAGAGGACCTGTCCTTTTTTTTTTTTGATATCCTAATCATCGGTCACTGCCGAGAACCAGGGCGGCTTTGTCAGTTGGCGGCTCTGAAAAGCTCAGCGATGGGCGGAGGACTTGGGAGTAAAAGCCAGACCTGAAATACTTACCTACGTTGGCTCATCCAAGAGGTTCAGTTTGTTGCAGAACGGATTGAGAAAGACACCGAAATATCACTGACGTGTCTTTGTAAATTGCCCTCGCC